TAATGCTATTTCCTCTTCTCCATGTCCCCCCCCGCTTATTTCTATATTACAGCCAACAGCACAATGATCAACTCCTCCCCTCACCCTGGTGCTCGGTGTAATCCTTGATTCTGACCTCTCCTTTCTACCCCACATCCAATCACTGTACAAATCTTGCCATCTCTTTAACATCTACAAAATCACTACCTTGTATTCTCTCGCTTTGACTGCTGTAACTCCCTCCTTGTTGGCCTACCACTACACAGGCATCCCACCTTCAGTCTATCATGAATGCTACTGCCAGATTCATTCACCTTACCAACCGTTAGTGTCTGCCGCCCCTCTCTGCCAATCTCTCCACTGGATTCCACTTGCCCAATTAATACAATTCAAAAATAATAACAATGGCATACAAAGTAGACATGTGATCCAGCAAACAATTAGTTTAGTTTTGTTTCGTTTTGATTCCGAATGTGCGTTATTTCATTTTTCGGGATTCGGGTCCGAAATTTAATTCATTTCGGGATCCGGATTTGGAAAAATTAGTTAGCGGTATTCCGGTCAAAATTTTTGTTTCGTTTCATTCGTTCTTTGCAGCAAAATGACATTAGGAGGCCCGTAGAAGCGATCTGGCGACAGCTGAGTCGCCAGACTCGCTTCTACTGTAAAGCCGATAGTCGGCTTTACAAGTTTAAACCCAATGTACAAGGTAAAAGCCGCCGAGAGTCTGTTTAAACAGCCCTGATGTCAGCGACGTACACTGTACGTCGTTGGTGGTGAAGGGGTTAAGGTGGAGCTACCTTTTAAAATCTGCACATTTTGAGTTGTCGTCTATATCCTCCTTTCTGCAAGTCATCCTGTGCTTACTCGCCCTTTCTGGTGAAGCTGTCATGATAAAGGCATGATGTAGGCTGTAGCTGATGGCACGATTGCAGAAATCAGCTGGTTAGCATGCACTAGTAGTCTGATAAGAGTAGGAGGAAAGTTGTACTTGGGAAAGACAAATACAATTGCAGAAGTTGGAAAGGTGGAAAAATCAATAGTAAGTAAACATTCCAGTACTATATATGGAGGCTTGCCGTGTGTAAATTCTCTTGCTTTTGTAGCGAATGGTTGGTTGAAGTGTGTTTCTATAGGGATTTGTAAATGACCAGCAATACTGTCTATTTGGCTGTACACTTCACATCTGTTTAGATCAGGCATAGCATTGAGTAAATAGAAAAGCAATGATCAAACATAAGCATAGCTGGCGTCTTAATCTGTCCTGTATGATTTGGACACATGAAACATTTAATAGTGTGTGTAGCATTACTGTCGGCTGCTTAACTTCCAAGATTAAATCTTCTGGCTGAATAACTTGTATGTGCCTGTCAGGATGGTAACTTTAGGAATTAATTTGCTTAGGGGTTACCATAATGTAGCATAATGCTGAATTCTGTAGGCGTGAAAGCAATTGAAGTTTGAATTCACTGTGCCTTGTCTTGCCACAACTGGTCAGCCTACATCCGAGGCTTTTCACACAGGTTTTTTGCTTTGCATTTCTCTGTAAAGCTGAACTTTTATCCTAAATGCACAGAATGTTCTTGGTCTGTAGATCATACCTTGTAGCTCTATCTTGTAATCTGCTTCTATATTCTGTCTCCTTCTTGATGTACAAGCTCATATCTGCCTAAATTCCCAGCATCTATAAGATAATGTGTAGGACCCTCATACTGCTGGGTGGGTAGACTGCTTAGCATATTTCTAGCCTGTGATATTAGTGGCTTGTGCACTTAGAGATGTTTTCCTGGGTAGGAATTGAATATTTTCCTGAGTAGATTGGGGGACACAAGTCTTATTCTGCAGTGCTACTGTGTATGGTCCCCTGACTAATGTCTAAGGATGGGCTCTACCTTTAGTAAGCCAATGCCTAATGTTTGTGACATATATTAGACGGCGTTGGCATTTGAGGTTGTACAAGCAGGGAGCAGCGTTCTGCTTTTTTTTTTTTAACCCCTTCGTGACTGACGACGTACAGTGTACGTCGCCAGCATCGGGGCTGTTTAAACAGACTCCCGGCGACTTTTGCCGCCGGGACTCTGTTTAAACTTGTAGAGCCGACTGTCGGCTTTACAACAGAAGCGATCCTGGCGACTTACCTGTCGCCAGATCGCTTCTGCGTCCCGAAGAAGGGGCCGCCCCCCCAATAACATGGGTGCAAAAATGGAAAAAAGGGCCTCAGTCATGAAGGGGTTAAAGGCAGGTTCTTGTCTAATATGCTATAAATATGAACATGGATTTGAACACCTCCACTTTTCTGCCCCCCAAAAAAGTTGCCTCGACCAGGGCTGCACAGTTTAGTTACCGTGGCGGCAAACTGGTAAGACTTCAATTAGGCTTTGAGATCTATCTATGGAAAGAGAACCTGTCTGCCTTAATCATTCTACAGTATTATAACTATTCCTTTCATGATATTAAACTGGCCATAAATTTTTTGAGGGCAGCGGTTTTTGGTTTCCAGACACCCCTCAAACAACCACACCTTATAAACAGACCGCAAAAACTATTGCTGACATCTGCGCATCCAAGCTTTAACTTACTCCGTCATGCAGCACTGTACCCTGTTGAATTTTAGATCTTTCTTTTGGTGGTATTTAATAACCAATTGGCTTTTTTTTTTTTGCAATATGAAGGGGGGAAAAAATATTTTGCTTTCTAGTATAAAACATAACAAATAAGAATGCCTGGACACCTGATGAGTAAAGTGAGATGTCCTGTATGCTAACCGCAGCCATTGTTTTTATAGTGTGATTCTGTGATTGGTCACAGCAATCACATGGTACAGAAACCCTCATTAGCTCTGTACCCTTTGTGATCTGCACTAATCAGTGGACAGTACCGTTTTTGTGCATCAGAGGGCATACACAAGCACATGAGGAAAATGTATGTTTTAAATCTTTGTCCTGCCCTAGGAAGGCTTCCATCTGTTTTTGTGAAACGGGCAGATGAAAGTAGTTAAACCAAAAGACCCTAGACTGACCAATCGCAGCTTGCTCTCAAGTATGGAGCAATACAAATGGATAATCTGTCACATCAGACTGTACACACAACTATCCCCTTGTCAAGTGACTGAGGCTTAGAGAGGAGAAAGATATGAGATGGAGGTAGAATGTGAGCATTATCAGAGATTGAGGAAAGCTTGGAAAAGTGACAATATTTTGGAAGAAGAGTAAAAGCACATATGAGAACCAGCAACTTGCATCTGGAAGAGGAATGGAAACTGTGCAAGGATAGGTAGCAGATCTGTAGGGAAATTGGAGAAGACGTGCATACGGCAAAGAGCTAAAATGTAGGGAGAAGGTGCGCAAAGCCGGTAAGCATCTTGGATGTGTAGCTGGTATGGGGAGAATGTGAGCAAATGACATGTACTGAGTTGTGTAGGGTCAGCCTCCAATTTCAGTGTTTAATTTACATGTGAAATTTTGGTGTTTTAACTTGTACTTTCCTGTCCGTGTGCATGTACTGTACTGGGTCCTTGAGAAAGCAGGTGTGTTACAACTTTTGCCAAATCCGATTTATCTTGTCTATGGCACAGTCTGTATGAATGTGAAAGGTGTAGGGACAATCTAAAATGTTTTTTCATCATTTGATTTCAATACTGCAGATTAGTTTGTGGTGGAGGTGCAGAAAGTTTGTGTGGAAACCGTGCTGGTTTAGTTTTTTAGTGGTTATATTTAAGAGGTGGTCTTGGCTTGTGAACTTTAGGTTTTGCAGCTGGAAACCTGTACATATAGGGTAACTTTCTCCTTGATACTTAGGATTTGTTCACACCATAAGCAGTGCGTTCCGGTCCGATTCTGACCGGAGTGCACTTCCTCGCATTGTGGTCGGCTCACTATTTTGCCGGGCAGGAGGGGGCATGGCGAGCCATTGAAGTGAATGGCACCTTAGCCTAGCTCTCCGGCCGCAATGCATCGCCCGCACGGGATCACAAGGCACATTGTGCCTGCGGTGCAGTCCAGTGCGATCAAAATGCTGCAAGCACTATTTTGATCGGACCGCACTGCAGGCACAACGTGCCTTGTGATCCCGTGCGGGCGATGCACTGAGGCCAGAGGGCGTGGCTACGGTGCAATTCACTTCAATGGCCCGCCGTACCCCCTCCTGCCCGGCAAAAAAGTGAACCGGCGCAATGTGAGGCAGTGCACTCCAGCCAGAATCTGACCGGAATGCACTGCTTATGGTGTGAACTAACCTGTTGGGGATTTTCAGCAACAGACTTTGACCTTGCGGGCGAATTATGGCGTTCCTTAAAATCTCAACCCTCTAGATCAGCCTTTCTCAATCAAGGTTCCTACAGAGGTTGCTAGGGCTTCCTTGAGAAGGGAATAGCATAATGAATCTGCCTCCTGCAATGACCCCTGATGTAAGGAGGCCCTTCTAAACTGACCACTAAGGTGGGAGCCATGATTACTGTCTGCGTTATTTCATTTTATTGCAAGATTACTGAAAGATATTTTGTTGTATACAGCAGGCTATGTAAAATAAAATCTGCCCTAGGTGTCTAATGCAATAGGTGCACCACAATATTCATTTATTTTTAAAACTTTCTACAATATTTAAGTACATTGTAGAAAGTACATTAGCCTTTAAAAGGCTAATGTACTGGGACCTGTAGTTTTAATCCTTAGCTAGGATTCCATTAAACCTCATTTCCAGGGTTACTCTGGGGTAAAAAGGTTGAGAAATGCTGCTCTAGTCCAGGGAGGCAGCGCAAATGCTATAACAGGGCTAGGAAGCCTCTGCACTCCAGCTTTGCTAAACCTACAAATCAGATCATGCCTCTGCGAGTCATGCCTGTGGCTCAGTCTTGCTGTGCCTCATGGGATTTGTAGTTGCACAACAGCTGAAGTGCCATGGTTGCCTTTGACAGCATATGAACATGTTTGGTATGGGGAAAACGGGGGGGATTGCTTGTTCAGTCATTCTTGCGTTGGATTAGCATTTTTTAATGGGCAATGTTATGAAATTTTTCTTTGTAGGTGGTCGGCAGAAAAATCTCTGTCCATATAGTGATGATGATTCCTCACTCGAAACCATGAGCCAGTGCAGTAGTTTTAGTGATGCTGCCAGCCTTCAGGATGATGGTAAGTTGTAATAAATGATTAAATGCCAAAACGTTAGTGTTAATGCTGAACTCCAACTAAATACAGTTAAAGTACATGTATGCGAAGCATTTAAACTGAAGCTGGGGGGTTGACTCTACTTTATCGCATTTAACCACTTGAAGACCGCGGTGTTTCACCCCCTTCCTGGCCAGGCCATTTTTCAGTGTTCAGCGCTGCAGTACTTTGACTGACGTTTATTCAGTCATGCAACGCTGTACTGAAATGAATTTTATACCATTTTTTGGGGACAGATAGAGCTTTCTTTTGGTGGTATTTAATCACCGCTGGGGTTTTTATTTTTTACTATATAAAACAAAAGTACCCTACATTTTGTAAAAAAAAACATGTTTCCCTATAAAATGTTATGAAACATTTATTTTCACCCGAATTTTTTGGTATACTATAAAAGACGTGGTCACGTCGTGTAAATAGACACTAAATATGTCAACCTTTAAAATTGCGCGCGCCCGTGAAATCGCAGAAAACGACCGCAACCAAAATTGGCCATAGGCGACACTTTAAACGTTTTTACCGCTCATGAGTTTAGTGTTATCAGTGATTGATGGCCCTAAAATTATTGCTCTCACTCCGACGTTCGCGGCGATATGTAACATGTGCTGCATAATAGGCGCAATCGTCGTTTTCGTACATAGGCGCACCCGACGCATGTTTGCATGTGGGGGGGGGGCAGGGACTTTAAAAAATGTTTTATGTAATTTTTTTTTATTATTATTTGTGAATATTTTACAACTTTATTGCTATAATCCCCTATGTAATAGCCAGTTCACCAAACAGGTCCTCTTTATGGAGACATCAGGGGTCTCCAAGACCTCTGATGTCACCTAGGGACCCCCACAGAAGCTGATGAAGCAGAGATCTGCTTCATCAGCTTCTCTCCGGTGTTCTGCACCGGAGAGTGACACTGAATGCAGGAAGTAATGTAATATACATCACTTCCTGCATTCGGGGACAGGAAGAGAGATCAAAGGGAAATCGAGTAATGATCTCCCTTTGATCTGCTGTTAGAGCGTCGCCGTGCCGGTCCCAGCCGCACCGGCCACATCGGATCACGGACCGGCAGCGGCGACGAGGAGACGGCGGGACAGAGGTACGGGGGGGGGGGGGGGGGAGGCCGCACACCCGCAGCTCCTGCAAGCGATCGGGCGTCTCTAGAGACGCCTGATCGCTTGTATGTAAACAGCCATCGCTGGCTGTTTACATGCTCACAGTTTTCCCTCTCGTGTGCGCGCTGAGTGCCGCACACGAGAGGGGGGAGGGGCAGGACGTCTTAAGACGCCCTCCCGCTCCTAGCAGACGTCCGTCCGGCCGTTCACAAACGGCCATGGACGGAAGGTGGTTAAAGTAGTATTAAACTCTCAAACTGAATCCAGATCAAACGAATACACATTGCCCTCCAAAGCATTGCTTTACTTTTTTGCCAAAGCACTTGTCCTGTCCAGTAAAAGATCACAAGGGACAGGGCAGACTCCAACAAACTGTTAATCTACTAGTTGCATGGAGGAGAGATGGGGGGGGGGGGGGGGTTGGGGGGGG